AAGCACACAAAAGCACAGATGCTGGACCTGGTTGTTCTGGAGCGGTTTCTGGCCCTTCTGCCCCTGCAGATGGAGAGCTGGGTGCGGGAGTGTGGAGCAGAGACCAGCTCCCAAGCGGTGGCCCTGGTAGAAGGCTTTCTCCTGAGCCAGGCAGAGGAGCAGAAGGAGCAGGTCGAGTGGCAGGTGAGAGACCTTCATCTTGGGAGCCCAGAAGGGGTTTGAATGTCATAAACAATGTGCTTGAATTCTTAACCCCTCCCTACCAGCGTTCCCTGGCATTCATAATAGGTGGAAATATCTCACTCATTCTTGTAGGCCACTGTTCCACTATGCCTTCTAGAAGATAGATTTGGGACAGGCTTCCTTTTCTTACTGTGCAGCCACACTGATGGACATTGGGGGCTTTGAAGTTGTGTTCAGAGAACAAGAATCCACTTCATCTTGTGTGATGTCCGTTATCTTTTCTTCTTTTCTCCTGCCTACCATTTCAAGTCCTTTGCTGTGGAGATCCGAGATCCTGCGGGAAGGAGGAATCCATCAATTCCCTCTCAGGAGCTGTTTTTCAGGAGGATCTCCTTGGAAGATCCAAATCAGGACATCTCAGGAGGTAATACAAGGTCCTCCCATTCCCCAGAGGGATAATCCCAGCTGTCTCATCTTCTCAGCATCTTCTATTCTGTAGAATTCCTCCTCCTATTTCATTAATTGTGCATTTTGAAATTCTGTCTCCCTCACAGGGAAGCATGGAAGAAAGTTGACTCCTCTTTATGGTGGAGTGGAAACCGTGGTTGAACCTCCAACTCAACAAGTAAGAGGAGGAAATTTATGTATTGGATTTGTATTCTCCCTTTCCTTCAGGAAGTCAAGCGGGTGTACTCAGCACTCTCTCCTTACATTTTTCCCTCTTGTTTGGGCTGAGTTATTTTTGTGTTCCTGAGCAATATGGCAGATCCAAGTGAGAGTCTTATTGGGAAATCTCTTCCTTTAAGACCAGTACCTAACTCTCCTTGTTCTAGTTACTCTCCCTAGTTTTCAATAACTACTTTTTACACAATCCTTGAAAAGACTCATTCTTTTTATAACTCTTTGAATTGGAATTGTGCAAGACTGCTCAGAAATAACTAAATATTCACTCTGGCACATTACCATTTTTTAAAAGCCTTGTTTAAAACCAATGATAAGAAAAATACAGACATCAGATTAAAAGATAACGGAGACTATTAAAA